CAGTTTGCGAAGTGACAAAATAAAGCTAATAAACTAGTCCACACGTCTATTTTCTCCATTTCTGAATTTGATGTTATCAGAGGCAAAATACAAACAAAATTGCATTATTATTTTTATATACCGTCATGTTTTGTTTTTAAAATGTCATGTTGATAAAATACGTTTTAACTTAAAGCCTAGTTTATTAACATTTTTTGGTGGGCGATTGCAAGGGTGGGGCCAGAACCCTTCCCTACCTTCAAAGTGGGGAATGGCAGAAAAAGTTTGAAAAAACACTGTCCTAACAGAACTAAATTTTTCCATTATAGCCTACAGGTGATTACAGCAGGATCCTTCCTGGGGACAGGTATTTTATGACCCCATTCCCTGACCAGTTACAATGCCGCTCTAGCCAGGACAAGGGCACATAAGAAAGTGAACTTTAGTCAACTATAGGGTGGCCATACGTCCGGATTTTGGCCGGACAGTCCGGATTTTAAGCTCCGTGTCCGGCGCAGCCTCAAGCCGGACACTCATTTGTTCTCCTTTTTGGAGTTGATCTGAAAAGGCCAAAAAAAAAAAAAAAAAACCCCGCTCTAGAATCTTTATTTAGACGCAGCAGCATAGCGTCTAATGCCGTAAGATCTCTAGTCAAACACATGATTCGCAGGGTTGCCAACTCTCACAACTATGCAGCGAGAGGCTCCTCAACTCTCACGCAAAATTGAGCTAATTCTCACGCTCTCACGCCACACCCCCGATTTCTCACGCTGAAGTGTGAACCCGGCCGGTCAAATCCCTGAAAGATGAGTTTATCTATAGACCATTTCACAAGATGTAAACAACACTGGTCCAGAAGCACTTCCTGTTTCAGTTTTTTAACACTACACAAAAGCTGGGATAAAATACAACCAACAGAACATTTAAAACTGAATCAAAAAGTTAAACAAACATCTTTAAGATGTTTTCTTTTCATGTGAAATAAAGAAAACAGTTACAAACTGAAACAGGAAGTGCTTCTGGACCAGTGTTGTTTACATCTTGTGAAATGGTCTATAGACCTACCTGATGAGCCACTCGTGATCGACTAGTTTTACCGCAAATTAGTTAAAAAATACACTAATCTAGAGCTTAGCTCCTAACGGCGCAGACGCAAAGCCAGGACTGGAGCAAAAGCCTGTTCCTCTCTGCGCTCTTAGCGTTCTGTTATCACTCCGCTCTAATCCACTACGGGTTCCCCAGTCTCACTCACAGGAAAAAAATGCTCCGTGTTCAACTGCAAACCCCCCCCCCCCCCATTTTTATAAAAAATATAAAACATTTCATTAATGTTTAATAAAAGACAAGACAAATATGCTTAGTTCTTTACATTTTTTTTAAATTATTCTTTGTAAAGAAAAGCCAGTGATCAAGTCATCTTTTGCCTGCAAATAATATTGTACTCTGTGTGAAATAATATATTAGCACTTATTCTGAAGTTCCTATGAAGCAACTCTATCTCTAGTGCCAGTTTTTTTTTTTCTTTAAGTTGTCCAGTATTTTCAAAATACTTTGTTTTCTAGGGGTAGGGGTAAACCTGTCAACACATGGCTTATGCATCAAAAATTCTGCCCACCTCTGCATCACTGCTTTCTGCAGACTCTTCTGTAGATGTGGACTCCTGAAACTCATATTGCATTCAGAAATAATAGGTATTCAAGTGTAAATTAAGTAAAGCTATTTATGCACTTAAAGATACCTGAGAGGGTTTCTTCACGGTCCTGTGCATTGTGGAAAAATGAGCATTACAAAGTGTTGTACTTTCTTCCCTTTTGATGTAACATTAGAAAAAGTCAGCTTACTGCACATGCTTCAGCCACTTGCTTGGGAACAAATAAAAGTGTTAGTGTATTGAAGTGATACAATGAAGTACGCTGGGGGGAAATGTGATCAACAACTCATGGCAGCATATTTTTTTTTTTACATTAAGTTATGTAGTTAATTAAATTATTTAGTTTCACAGTCACACATGTAGACTTTCACAAGTCAAAGCAATTGTCCAAACAGCCATTTGGATTATAGGCCTACTTAGAGCAACAAATTATTTTATAGTCTACTAGGATCATTTAAAGTTCATTTACCAGCAGTGAAGGTGTTGCTACTCCTGGCTGTGGGTCTGAGGAAGAGTTGAACACAAGGATGCCCTCCACAACGTTCACATTTAACCCAAGGGCCAGCTCTTCTGGGTAACATGGGGATGCAGGACCACCACCTGTTTGTTTTTCCTTTCTTTTTTTCTCAGCCTTTTTCTTTCTTTTATAAACAGGCAAACGTTTATTAACAGTGCTTTTTTAAAATGGATTAGTTGGTACAAATTACTATTATGTAGAATATTCTAGTGCTTCACTTTTACTTGTTCTTATGTTCTAACAGTGGGTGTGACTCTTGACATTACAATGAAAAAAAGGTAAATTATTTAGAAATTATTAAAATATAAATAAAATATAAAAATATATATTGTAATAAGTGATAAACATCTAACTACAAACTTGTTAGAAACTTCAATGTTTCTAGTATCAATATATATCCCCTTTTAACCCAGCGCATGAACGCACAATTATCTCACATAACTCACTCCAGCTATACTAATCATAACCGGCAGGAGTGTTCGAAGAACCAAATAAAGGCGGGCATACACTGTGCGATGTCTGTGCGATTTCAGCAAGGTACGTACTCACACTCAACGAGTAAATCGCATGCGATGCAAAACCAAAAGTTCAGGATTTATGTGCTCACACTGTACGGTCCGATCGTCGAGCTGCGACTTCACTGCTCACACTATACGTGTAATATCTGCGATAACCCCCTGGATTGCGCCTATAGATGTGTATGTATCCAGAGATATTGTTAAAACAAGCATCTGCTATCCATATCAAGATGATTTAGCAATTTCAGTTTATGCATTTAATTATTATTAGTATTATTGTATTATAATTATTAGGGGAGGCCTATAGGCTAATTTTATTATTAAATTGATCTGCAATTGTAATAAATTTGCAGCGCAATATTTTCACAGCACATAACCAACGTGCTGCGAGGATAATAAAATATTGCTTTATCTTACTCCTCATTAAAAATTGTCTAAAACATTTAGGTCGATTACAATGAATTATAGGCATATAAAATAGCTATTAACAGTCTATTATATCTCCAAACATTGCCATAATTATCATCAATGAAAATTAAAAACATGTTTATTTCAAAAACATTGTTTAACAAATTAATAAAAGAGGCATTACATCGCAGGTGGCTTGGAAGACGTGGGTAATATTATCCATTTTGCGACACGAACTGGAGGTAAGCAACAGTAATTTTTAGCTAGTTTGAACTAAAGAACTTAAAGGTTCTCTAAGCGATGTGGGGCCAAAACATGTTTTGTCACATACATCAACCGTCTCCTCACTATCGGCTAGCTGCCTGTCCCCTAAAAACACTGTAAAAAAACGCGGTCTCTGTAGACACCACAGGCTCCACAAACGGCAACAAAAACTATCATGTCTCACCCGGACCACGAAACCTAACAAACAGTGTTCCAGCCAATCACTGGCAAGAAGAATTTGAGGGTGGGTTTCGGAAGTTTCGGAACCCCCCAGTTAGTGCGCGTGCATATGAAGGGGGTGTGTGTGTGAAGGAGAGAGAAGCATAAGAGGGAAGTTTAAAAAATGGCCGAAACATGACCAAAGAGACGTCGTTCTGAGGAACAAATTAAAAAGAAGAAGGAGTCGGATGAAGAACGTGTGAAGTTCCGAATTTACATCGGTAGCAAAGCTTTTGAACGATGGCGAGAACTCCGGCGGCAGAAGGGCTTCCAGTCCGACATTCAGGTTGCTCTGTTTTTGCTGGACAGGTGGGTAACGTTAAATTGTTTTTTTTTCTTCTAAATTGACGCTTATGTTCGCCAAACCCACACAAGGATATAATTAGAAATGCACGTTCACAATTATTTCAGGAAGGACGGAAGGGAGGGGGAGGAGATGAGATGCGGAGGAGGGAGGGTCTAGCTAGCCTCCGATTTGTTTGAAAATATTCCGAACGTCAACACCCAGGATCGCTCAGAGAACCTTTAAAGATCTTCTTCTTTTCGTTTTTATTTTAATTGTATTTTTGCTGCAGATGAAATGGTTAAACTTCTGTTTTCGCGCAGGTGCAGTGAGGGGAAAAAAACACTGAATTTAGGGCAATCGGTTCGTAGCGTTGCTTCAACTGTGCGATATAGTCACGAGGAGCGACCAAAATTTCTGACATGCCAGAAATTCACCCGATTGTCGATTGTGAGAGGTTAATCGCCTCTCATTTCTCCCTGTACACTGCACGAACACTGCACGACAAAGCTGAAAATCGGTCCGACACGAAAAAGAGTCGCACGAGTCAGAATTCGGCTCAAAATCGGACAAAAATCGCACAGTGTATGCCCGCCTTTAGTCGAATCATGATGAGCACGATGATATTATCTTGGATGTCTCAATTGATCTCGGCTGTTTTAAGCAACCTACGAAGAACAGGCCCCTGGTCTTGGGAGATCTCATCTCCCTTAAGCTTCTTTCTGTTGTGCTTATATCCTCTTCTCCTGATGGCTCTCAGGTGGCTGACTCCGCCTCCTGGCAATTGGATCCACTCCATTTCCATGACAATGCTGACAAGTGCTGCAGAGCTTGTCACAATATATATACATACAAGATGTAAAAAAATTTTTTAGAAAAAATTATTTTGAGCTCACGCTTTGATCAAAAATGCAATAAAAACAGCAAATTTGTAATATATTGCAATTTTAATTAGTTTTCTATTGATATATTGTAAAATGTAATTTATCAAAAGTTTCAGCATAATTACTTCAGTGTCACATGATTCAGAATTCATTCTATATTGCTGATTTAATGCTCAAGAAACATTTTTTATTATGTTGAACAGTTATGCTTCTTAATATTTTTATGTACACTACAGTTGAAAAGTTTATAGTCAGCAAGATTTTTTTGAGGACATTAATAAGTTCATTCAGCAATGATGTAAATTGATCAACAATGATTTTTTTTATGTTGCAAAAGATTTTGGAGCGAGAGAGAAAGAGAGAGAGAACCTTCCCCAAGTCAGTTCCTTCTTTTGTATTTTTATGTTAAGAAAGTGTGATTACAACATGGTAATTGATTACATTTTCAACAACCAGTATCCCTGATCACACTAGTTATGCAAACATCCTGAATCTCAGAGGATACAAGCATGCTCAACCTCATTCATTTACGCTCTTATAATGTCAGGATAGCTTTTCAAGAACAGTACATTATTGAAAAGATAAAGAATAAATGACAAAAATAACAATATAACTGCTCTTTTCACCTGTGTGAAAGCATGGTCCTCTTCATCAAAGAACCATGAGAATTACTGTTCAAACTATATTTAGGAAGAGAGATACAGGGAGAAGGTGAAAGGAATGACGGAGAATGTGAGAAAAAAGGGAAACAAAAGGAGGTTGAGTGAACTTCTGGATCCACTGGACGCAACAAATCCAGGAAGGTTGCTGCCCATGTAAGACTTAATCCAGTCCTGGAACTGAGAAACTCTGGTGGACACACTGGGATATCTGGGGTCATCACATCGTTGTGCACCAAAACTCACAATGCCGGACTGAACCCACCGGGAGCTGTTCCTAATGACCATTGGACCTCCAGAGTCTCCCTGTATTGACAAAAATCCAGCATTTATATTTCTTACAATATACAGTGAACAATTGTTACAGACACAAGTATATAACAGTGTAGCCCAATGGGTAAAAGTATGCCGGCCATGTGTCCAGCAAAGATCTTTTTGACCATTTTCTATTTTTTTTTTTTTTTTGCACAATATGTTTTATTTGTTCTACTTCATGCTTAAATTAAGAGCAAATGTTATCATTGTCTGGCACTGCAACTCTATCCTTTTCTCTGCAGGTAATGCCAAGTTCAGACTGCACGATTTTCTAAGTAGTCAGGTCGCTGCTCTTTTCACACTGCATGACTATCTTGGCCAGCATTCAGTTGCTGCTGTGTTCACACACTGTACGATGGATCGGCGACAAAAGGTTTCACACTGCATGACTTTACAATAGGAAGAATCGGTGACAACTCTGACTAGCACGCTGCGCGCAAACTACGCTTCACAACAAACACATGTGAGATGTGACAAGGAAAGAACGCAACATCACACGTGCAAGACCGGAGTTCTCACGTGACACTTTTTTCTTTTTCGACCCGGTTGTGGTACAGCTCAGATGAAACGTCAAATAAACACGGATGCTCCTGCCAAATTTCTACTCATTTTTCTTCCATTTCTTGTGTCCAAATAGACAGAGTGTTACGTTCCCGTATCGCGTGTGTGTTCTTGTGTTTTTTCTTTCCCGCTTTCTCTCTCTCTCGGTTACTTTCACTTTTGTAGGTACCCGTGACTGGCCAATTGACCTGTCAATCATCGTTGGCGCTGACGTCACCTCTTTTCGCCATCGCCAATAGGAACAGGCCACCTGGGGAATAAGAGTGCACGCCAGACGTCTCCACGGAAGCTCTCGGCTCGCTGAGACTCAAACCACGCTGCTCTCTGTCACTGTTGCGCTGCTCCTTTGTATACCCTGTTGAGGTTATGGTTCTCGTTCACTCGGTGTGATGTTAAGTAGTATGAGTGAATGCTCCCTGTGTTGACTCTCTGATTTTAGGTGACCTGCTCTACAGAGCTCAGTAGGTTACTAGTAGGAGAAGAGATAGACAGATAGCATGTCACGTGACATACACTGCACCACGCAGGGGTTTTCGATTCTGTTTAGTACACTAGGGTAGGGGCGAGCGCCACACTTTGTATTTCTGCTTCTGTTAGTTAGTGGAGACTAGATAGGGCGTCCTGGACGCTGAAGATTATTATTTTCTTCTTTATTTTCTTAGTTAGGATTAGAGGTTATTTAACAGCTAGACTTCATTTGGTTTTGTTCTTTTCTTTTCTTTGGCGCCGTCCACGTCTATCTTTTCTTCTTATTAACTTTATCCACCTTACAGAAATTCTGTATAACATGTCCATTTTTATATTTATGTTAATCTATATTCGTATAGATTAAATTCTTTTCACTTTTGCCACTGACCTTATTTGTTAAATAAAGGTTTTGGCTTTTTGCACAGTAAATCTGGTTGTAGAGTGTTTTTTGTACAACTCATGGTTTATGTAGGTTTCTCTATAATGTCATCTTTAAAATGTTGGACTCCCGAACCCCTGGACTAACTCGGGGGTCGTAACACAGAGAAAGAAGCCTTTTTCTGAAACAATGCCATGCATGTTGATATGTGTTCTATAACTCCTCCCCGAAGTCCCTGCTGCTCTGTATCTTGCTCTCTCCTTGGCTGTCGGTAATCACCGATGTAGTTTTCAGTCAGAACACTTTTCACACAGCAGGATTTTGAATCGCCAACAGGTCCAGATATTTAGCATTCCAAATCTCACGGGCGTCGGCGACTCGCCTGTGATTCTCTCAGATCGCGCCTTTGCTCATTCACACTGCGTGATTGTCACTCGCGTGAACGAGCACCAATTTGCCTGTGATTTCAGGCATTTGTAGGTGATTTTTCAAAACCTGTCGGCGAGCCAAAATCGTGGCTAAAATCGTGCAGTCTGAACTCGGCAAAAAAGAGACTGAGTTTAATTGAGCAACTAGGTTGGCAGTGTGAAGTGTTTAGGAAAATGGGTTCAAATGAATGATTGATGTCTTACCTGACATGAACTTTTCCCTGCCACATTTAAAAATCCAGCACAAATCATTTCGCTTGTGATGCCCCCTCCATAAGCATTATAACAGGCACTGTTGTTTACAATTGGTAACATAATCTCCTGCAGTGTGTCTGAAGGCTCTCCTGTGACACAGATCAGAGGATATATTTTTACAGCTTTTAAAAAAACATTTCTAGGTAAATTGTTGAGGGTTACAGTATTGTTTGTGTTCAGTAACTTGACAAGCAAATATTCACTCACCTCCAGCCTGTAGAGTTCCCCATCCAGTCACCCAGCTCTCTGTACCTCCAGCAAATACACTACCAGCAGCCGCCAGACAGACTGGCTTAATGTAATCAGTGAAAT